CTAGTGGGATTTTTGGAAGTATTAAATAATGCTAACATCTTTCGAAAGTCTTTGATGTTCCAATAAAACACGGGGACGCTTTGAGTTGTTTAAAATTTTCAGTGTCTAATGTCCATTTTTTATGTTATGATGAATTCTGACTCCCCGCTTCAGCGGTTATGTTTAGGGTGTTTTCCCTTTCAGCCAATTTTCTCATACTACGTGGCAGACGGGCCTTTTATGTTTTTGAATCACCCGACGCTGTGTGTTGCAATACCTATACGTTTGTGGTATATAGTGAACAAGAAGGTATTATCCATGGAGTCGTATGCTTCGTTGAAGATAATATACGCCAAGCGTGACTGCTCTGATAAACATATCTTATAGACTTGTCAATCTGGATTGGATTGAGATAATTCACACGCTAGCTCCAATTGATTGTGATCATGCAAAAGTCAAGTATTGTTTTGACTAAACAGTATAAACATAGTCTTCTCGTGATTAAACTGAACCAACCATAATATCTGCGCACTGAGATAGTTAAATGATTATTGGGACTACCTTCTACAGCCAATAGACTGACTGATAGTGATGTATGGGTGATATATGCATTAGTGTATAAAGGATTGTCATGTTCAGGTGACGGGTACGCTAAGAGGTTCGTGGATGGGACATCTCTATAGAGATACACTTAAGCTATCGGTAAAGGGTCCCTGTCAAGGTTGATTTATTGTTTAACGCCGAACTATTCCAATATCCCAGTTATATGGCGGCTTGCTGCAAATAATCGAGTCTGGACCAGACAATCCAGTGATCAACAGCATGACCATCGATCAACGCTATCAGGATACGATGACATGTGTCAACCAAGTCAGCGAGCCTGACCACCTTATCCCGTTAGTCGTCTCTTACGACAAACATGGGTTACTGAAGATAAATTCTTCACGAGTCCACTGTCAAGGAGATTCGGATCGTCGAAACCCTCAACACAGTCGTTGGCGCACTGACCTCTCTTTGTTCTTCATGCCCATTGACCACGTTGTCGCGGTACATGGCTAACGGCATACCCCAAACAGCATTTGACCAGCAACCGCAACAGCAACAAGCATACAAACTGATCTGTGCTTATTTACATATGCACATTGTACACACGCATAAATATGTACGTGCATCCTACCAACACTACTTGGGATACGTGTATTACTTGTGGTACTATAATATCATAGTAATATAATTACTTATACTTGTAACACTAATGATAGTTATATTTATGATACTTGTAATACTAAACATATATAAGACTAACAACTAGTCTCTGAAATTAACATATTTTACTGAAAAAAGTTCATAGTAAAAAAAAAAATATATAATGAAAAGGAGCCCTGAGACTTTCTTCATTTCCTGAAGCTGTGGAAATCTAGACTTGCCACATTTTCTAGACTTGCGTGGGCTTTCTTGGATATATTTGCTTCAGGGTCTGTACGACAGACTAAAGATATATATACAATACCAGTAATACTATAACACTGAAGATACTTGTAGTCCTAATGTCATTTATAATAATTATTACACTTATAATACTCATGATACTTGCAATACAACTACTTCTTGTGCCTATAATACTCGTAATAGCAGTTCTGTACTGACGTATAAAAGAAAGTACACACCTGGTGTATTGAGACTACTCCCAAATAAACAAATGTACGGCTAGCAACGTTGTAATTGGGTACGATATCTGGTGTTATTGCAACACGTACACAATGTTTGTGACTTGTAAGTCACAATCAAAACACGTTTCTAATTTTAACGCTGTTTTTAAGAAAATATTTTACATATTTTGCATATTAAGCCCAGCTTTATTTGTCTTCTTCATAAATGAACTTGTAACAGAAGTATATAAAGAGTGTAGTTATGGTGTATTTATGACACAGGATATTGTTGATTTAATGTTACTTCTTTTTGCTGATGATGTTGTCATGTTTTCATATACTGTTAATGGCCTGCAGAAACAATTAAATGTACTGTCTTCCTTTTGTAAGAAATGGGGTTTAGAAGTCAACTTACAAAAAACAAATGTCATTGTATTCAGAAATGTAGGTAAAATTGCTAAGCATGAACACTGGGCATATGACAATGTTCCTTTAGAAATTAAGACATATTATAAGTATTTAGGATTAGTTATATCTTCTAGATTGTCATGGTCAGTATCTTGTAAACAATTAGCATGTCAAGCCTCTAAAGCTGTCATTCCAGTTTATACATTTTTCAAAAAACTTGTAAATGTTCCGTTTTCCACAGCATGTTCTATTTTTGATGGTAAAATTGCGCCGATTTTGTTATATGGGGCAGAGAGATGGGGCACAAAATATAAAGAGGCAATAGAGAAAGTCCAATCATCTTATTTTAAATGCCTTTTACGGGTTGGGAATTTTGCTTCAAATAAGGCCATTTTAGGCGATTCAGGGCGTTATCCTCTTTCTATTCTCAGCCAAGTTAGAGTGGTTAAATATTGGTGTAAATTACTAAAGATGGAACGACAACGATATCCTTATCAATGGTATAATTTATTAAAAACTCTGTATGATAATGGTAAGACCAGTTGTAACTGGGTTTGAAATGTTAGATCTTTGCTGTTTACTTGTGGGTATTCTTTTGTTTGGATTGCGCAAGACTTTGGTGATGAAGAGTTATTTCTATTTTCATTAAAACAAAGATTACAAGATATGTATTATCAAACCTGGCACAATAGTATTTCATCTTCATCCTTTTTATGTCATTATAATTCGATTAAGTCAGCTATAGAACCAGAGAAGTATTTAACATCATTAGAAAATAAGGATTTGATAAGAGCAAAGTGTAAATTTAGACTTTCCCTACACAATTTTAATGTCAATTTTTCCAGAAGGTATAAACAAGACGATATTGACCTAATTAAATGTGCAAACTGTAAATTGGGTTTTATTGAAGATGAATTCCATGTATTATTAGTTTGTGATAAATATAAAGATTTGAGAGAGAAATATCTTCCACACATTAAACATGTCCATAATTTATTATGTTAATGGTAAATTTATTAAACTCTCACAATCCTCTTGTTATACATGCAGTTGCAACATTGTTAAAACATATATTTATTGCTAGATAACTATTTCAATTTGTGCTCACGTGACATTAACTGTAAAAAGGGCCATAAGGCCATAAGGCCGTATATTACCGAATAAAGTGTCTGTCTGTCTGTATAATAATTATTACACTTATAATACTCATGATACTTGCAATACAAATACTTCTTGTGCCTATAATACTCGTAATAGCAGTTCTGTACTGACGTATAAAAGAAAGGACACACCTGGTGTATTGAGACTACTCCCAAATAAACAAATGTATGGCTAGCAACGTTGTAATTGGGTACGATATCTGGTGTTATTGCAAGACGTACACAATGTTTGTGACTTGTAAGTCACAATCAAAACACATTTCTAATTTTAACGCTGTTTTTAAGAAAATATTTTACCAAATCGTCAGGTGTGTACTTTCTTTTGAACGTCACTTTACCTTTGATACACAGTATAACATGGACTATACTGATAAAGCTAATTACAGAATCCAAGATTCGGTTGAAGGATCAGTGTACATTCATTTTACATTCTCACCTCCCCGTGCAGTATGCTGTTTGTGTGATGTCTGAGGCCAAAATATTTCATCGCGTTTCAGGTAACGAATAACTTACTTAGATATATGCAGGCCATATTATTCGCTTGACTGGTTTAGATGCAGGTTTTATTGGTTTATGTTGACAGTTTTCCTTGTAATTACTTCTTCGCGTGTGAGATGAAGGAAAGATCTGCCGGCCTCCGTGAAACACATATAAGGTCCTCTTGGCCTAACTACTTCCACCGGAAACATGCAGCCCAGCGGACGTCAGCGCGAGCTATAAGTGTGTGAACACATCGCGTCCTTATTCCCTGTCCCAACACTCGGCCATATACTCTGCTTCAAAGTTTGAGAATTTGCACCAAAGAAGGTTTTATGAGTTATAGAGGAAACGGCTACAAGGAGTTTGGCCCGTGCCAGATGGTACAATGCACGGAGCACATTCTAAGTGTTCCCGTGGACTTGCTCAGTTCTGGTACAAGGCCATTCTACTGTTGTGAACTGGTTGTGGACCCCATATCCACGTCATCAATGCCGCACAAACACACGTGCGCGCACGCACACTCGCTCGCACGCATTTGCATGTATCAACATCTGTTTACTAAGCGAGATGGCGAGGGCGCGTTTTCTTATTGAATTACTCATTTGTCACCCCAGCCCTATTCCTTTACTCTCCCGTCTTCCTGAACGAAGATATAGACGTGACACCCTCATGGGAATCAGTGCACGTCAGAACCGGTAGAACCTGATCTGGTATTATAATATGTTATCCCACCACTTCAGTCTTCGCTTCAGTAGTCTGTACAAATCTGTTGTTGGCGACACCTCAGTTTACACACCCAGCAAACATTAGGTCCTGGATTAACAATAGGAATAGCGCTGTAGATTGAAGTGAGTGAGTGAGTTTAGTTTTACGCCGCACTCAGCAATATTCCTGCTATATGGCGGCGGTCTGTAAATAATCGAGTCTCGACCAGACAATCCAGTGATCACAAACATGAGCATCGATCTGCGCAATTGGGAACCGATGACATGTGTCAACCAAGTAAGCGAGCCTGACCACCCGATCCTGTTAGTCGCCTCTTATGACAAGGATGGGTTACTGAAGATCCATATTCTAACCCGGACCTTCACGGGTCTGTAGAGAGTAAATAGCTCCCCGAATCAGTGAACAGTCCACATCCCTTTGTCCTTTCCGGAAGTGTGACGAGAAGGCTTTGCGTAGTGAACTTATGACCCTTGTTAGAGACTGGCTCTTATTTCAAAGCCTTACCCGAAGCTAATAGAGGATATATTAGGATTTCGACAAATGATGTTCACATACGTGTATTTAAGTACAAAATACAGATATCACTTTTTTGTTTCAGTTGTGAATCAACTTGACCATGTCGCAAGGATACCCGGTGACCGCCCAGGTGAGTCATAGATGGACAGGAAGGGAGAGGCAGGATGGGCGTGTCATGGCCGATGTCCCGGCTTGCATTCAGGCAGGCACGACCACCCGATACGTGCAATGTCATGTACACAATGACAGATTTGAGTGAACTGTTCCAGTACAGTATTTGAAATAAATGATCACGGGAAAAGAGAGGGGGGAAATTATGTTAGTCATATGTTAGTACTTTGATATTGTATGCAATGTACTGTCGTAAAACGTATTAATTACTAAACCGCTTTGAATGTATAAGCCATGTGGAGGGTTCCTTTTAAAGGTGTGGGAACGCTACCAGTCAATGGTGTATAGTGATAGCTTGGCCGTATGCCAGTCTCGTACATAAATCCCCGCAAAAATTAAATCTAATGCAAATAAAGACAGTTATGACTCAATATGATTTTTAGCAAACAAGCAAACATGTGAAACCTATTACCAAGATGTCAGGTGTCCTTTCAACCAAGTTATTTCAGAATGATTTTAACTGAATATTCGAAAACAAGTAGGTATCGTATATCACGATGAATATCAGAGAAAGAGAGACTGAAACATAAATAGTGGGATATTACGATTAGTTGGGTATTCAGAAAGAGTCAGATATCAGAAATAGTTGGAAATCACGAATAGTCGTTTGTAAGAAAATGTCACAAAATGTTGGATACAATGAATAGTCGCAAATCACTAATATTCTATCACTAATTTCGTGTATCACGAACTCTAAGTTCTTTTGAAACGAATAAAGAGTATATATTACACCTAATCCCAGGAGTTCGATACATCCGTAGTGTACATTGACACAGAGACATGCACCTCTTTTTCATGACTCGCGAAGATCCGAGTTAGAATTGGTGTTCAACAACCCGTGCTTGTCATAAAGGGCGACTAGCGGGATCAGGTGGTCAGGCTCGCTGACTTGGTTGACACATCGTATCCCAATTGTGTAGATCGATGCTCATGCTGTTGATCACTGGATTGTCTGGCCCAGACTCGATTATTTACAGTCCGCCGTCATGTAGCTGGAATATTGCCGAGTGCAGCGTTAAACAACAAACCAATACAATATATGAAATAAGTGCAACAAAACCCACGTCCACATTATTCATGATCATACAACTATTTGAGCAAGAGTCATATGACGCCCTTTTAAATTTTTGGGAAAGACGCAAGCTCGAGTGTATGTGGAAAGGTAGACGGTTGCTGAACATGAAGACAAAACTGACCTCTGTAAAGTTGAAGTCATCTCAAAGCATATGGGGACATACGTTGCTTATACGTCACCGTTGCCAAGAGATTGAGTCATACTCGTCACCAAAAGACGCTAGTGATATCCAATTCTTGACAGTCAAATATAAAACCCATTTATATAGGATACACATTAGAAAGAACTCCATCAACTCCAAGGTGCTAGCCAATTAGCTGCCCGCCTGATCGAGGAGGTATACGTTTATATAAGAAAAGAAAAAATAAAATAATATATATGGTATATATATATATATATATATATATAATATATATATACGTTTATATATAAATAATGTATATATATGTTTGTTTTAGCCGTACGTCCATGGCCACACGACCGGCCACACCACCGTCGTCATGACTAGCACGTCACAGGTGAAGCAGACCAGAGACTGGTCATCTGGACTTTTCGGCTGCTTTGACGACATAGGAACATGTATGTGGTAGTCTTTATGTTCATTGCTTAATGTCTGAATACTTTATACGTAAGCCATGCACTGTCTAGTGGAATACATATGGGCACGGGGTAAAGGTACAGTTTCCACGTGGGTCTAGTGGAATACATATTGGGTGATGGAACAGTTTACACGTGGGTCTAGTGGAATACATATGGGCACGGGGTAATGGTACAGTTTCCACGTGGGTCTAGTGGAATACATATTGGGTAATGGTACAGTTTCGACGTGGGTCTAGTGGAATACATATGGGCACGGGGTAATGGTACAGTTTCCACGTGGGTCTAGTGGAATACATATTGGGTGATGGTACAGTTTCCACGTGGGTCTAGTGGAATACATATTGGTAATAATGGTACAGTTTCCATGTGGGTCTAGTGGAATACATATGGGGTAATAATACAGTTTCCACGTGGGTCTAGTGGAATACATATTGGTAATAATACAGTTTCCATGTGGGTCTAGTGGAATACATATGGGGTAATAATACAGTTTACACGTGGGTCTAGTGGAATAGATATTGGGTAATGGTACAGTTTACACGCGGGTCTAGTGGAATAAAGTTTAGGTAATGATGGCTTATGAAATATGCACTGTTTTACGATGAGAGTCCTACGAGGTCTAATGGAATACGTATTGCGTTACGATGGGAGTCCTGCGAGATCTAATGAAATAGGTATTGTGTTACGATGGAGGTCGTGCGATGTCTAATGAGATACGTATTGTGTTACGATGGAGGTCGTGCGATTTCTCATGAAATACGTATTGTGTTACGATGGCAGTCTTGCGATGTCTAGTGAATATGTATGGTTTTACGATGGGAGTCCTGCGATGTCTAGTGAATATGTATGGTGTTACGATGGGAGTCTTGCGATGTCTAGTGAATATGTATGGTGTTACGATGGGAGTCCTGCGATGTCTAATGAATATGTATGGTGTTACGATGGGAGTCCTGCGATGTCTAGTGAATATGTATGGTATTACGATGGGAGTCCTGCGACATCTAGTGAATATGTATGGTGTTACGATGGGAGTCCTGCGATGTCAGGATGAGAAAATATATATGGGTAAGGATATACATGTTTCGTGTCTGATAAAGTACATCATTGACGCATCGAGTGACCACGTGGTGTATGTTCCAGGTTTGTGTGGCACGTTCTGCAGCCTGTGCCTCGAGTGCCAGGTGGCCATGAAGATGGGTGAACACTGCTGTGTGCCTGTCTGTGTCCCAGGGGCCATCATCACCATGAGAACAGGCATGCGGGAGAGACACCATATTCATGTGAGCACATCCTTCCCCGTGAACAGTTTTAGTACTTTTCCCTGGAACCTCTCTGAGTTTTGGTTTCTGACCTTACTGTACGTGGCTGGGCCTGTAACACGTTTATCAAGTTGACAGTTCCTAATCTGCTGTAAAGCTAAATAATGTTTAGATATATTTCATAGTCTCTATGAGTATGTTGTATTTCCGAGTTCTAAACAAATACATGGCATTAACGCAAGGCAACGCAAGTAGCCACAATGGGTTCTGGACAGGGATTCAGCCCGAATTATACGTTTTAGTTAAAGGGAAGATTCTGCGGTAGAAACTGCGGTCATCTGGCCACAAGAAGAGAGAACAGCAACAGGCAACTTAGGAATACTTTTACGTTTTTGTTTCAGGGCGGGATGCTTAACGACTGTTGTATGTCGTCCTTCTGTGGAGCATGTGTGCTCTGTCAGCTGGCACGTGAGCTGAAACACACCGGGGAATGGCAGCTCAACTAAATGTGGACAACACGAGACGTCATGCAGTCACCCCGGTTATCCTTACCGATGTGGAGGCCTTAGTTAAAGCCTGAACTTGCTCGTGCCGATATAACCGATGCTTCATATTCAATTTTATAGTTGCAAAGTAGCAGCAGCAGCAGCAGCAGCTTAAGGCTGTATTATAAAGAGTATATTTCCACCTGTAGCATACGTTCTATTTTACCTGTTTCTGTGTAATCCTCACAGCAGTTGTCAAGAAACTACCATAAAACAAGCATGGCCACTATTGCCACCGTTCAACTCACTGATAGTTCTTTGTACTCAGGGTATGGTTTATAATGCACAAATCGGCATACCGATGACGACCTTCCAGCTTTGTAGTGCCTTGGAAACTTTAAACCCAGAAATGGCTCAAGCGACATTGTCCTAACAACTTTCGCCTTTCGTGAGACAGTTTCCCCTTGCCCTTGGTCACTGTGACACTGTTGGGTCATCTCTTAAGGAATGGAATCGGTGATACTGTTGGGCCATCTCTTAAGGAATGGAATCGGTGACACTGTTGGGCCATCTCTTAAGGAATGGAATCGGTGACACTGTTGGGCCATCTCTTAAGGAATGGAATCGGTGACACTGTTGGGCCATCTCTTAAGGAATGGAATCGGTGACACTGTTGGGCCATCTCTTAAGGAATGGAATCGGTGACACTGTTGGGCCATCTCTTAAGGAATGGAATCGGTGACACTGTTGGGCCATCTCTTAAGGAATGGAATCGGTGACACTGTTGGGCCATCTCTTAAGGAATGGAATCGGTGACACTGTTGGGCCATCTCTTAAGGAATGGAATCGGTGACACTGTTGGGCCATCTCTTAAGGAATGGAATCGGTGATACTGTTGGGCCATCTCTTAAGGAATGGAATCGGTGACACTGTTGGGCCATCTCTTAAGGAATGGAATCGGTGACACTGTTGGGCCATCTCTTAAGGAATGGAATCGGTGATACTGTTGGGCCATCTCTTAAGGAATGGAATCGGTGACACTGTTGGGCCATCTCTTAAGGAATGGAATCGGTGACACTGTTGGGCCATCTCTTAAGGAATGGAATCGGTGACACTGTCGGGTCATCTCTTAAGGAATGGAATCGGTGACACTTTTGGGCCATCTCTTAAGGAATGGAATCGGTGACATTGTTGGGCCATCTCTTAAGGAATGGAATCGGTGACACTGTTGGGCCATCTCTTAAGGAATGGAATCGGTGACACTGTTGGGCCATCTCTTAAGGAATGGAATCGGTGACACTGTTGGGCCATCTCTTAAGGAATGGAATCGGTGACACTGTTGGGCCATCTCTTAAGGAATGGAATCGGTGAGACTGTTGAGCCATCTCTTAAGGAATGGAATCGGTGAGACTGTTGAGCCATCTCTTAAGGAATGGAATCGGTGACACTGTTGGGCCATCTCTTAAGGAATGGAATCGGTGACACTGTTGGGCCATCTCTTAAGGAATGGAATCGGTGACACTGTTGGGCCATCTCTTAAGGAATGGAATCGGTGACACTGTTGGGCCATCTCTTAAGGAATGGAATCGGTGACATTGTTGGGCCATCTCTTAAGGAATGGAATCGGTGACACTTTTGGGCCATCTCTTAAGGAATGGAATCGGTGACACTGTTGGGCCATCTCTTAAGGAATGGAATCGGTGACACTGTTGGGCCATCTCTTAAGGAATGGAATCGGTGACACTGTTGGGCCATCTCTTAAGGAATGGAATCGGTGACACTGTTGGGCCATCTCTTAAGGAATGGAATCGGCAAATGCTGTGCATTTATAAACGTCATGCTGACATACTTACCATCACAACCACTCCTTTGTAATTTCAAATTAATACTATCACGTTTTTAAATATCAATATTTGCTCTCTCTACGTGTGTATCTTCATCGAAAACATAAAACACCAGGATGTACATGTTTCCGTTGTCCGTTGTACTCAACACTTGGATAGTACAGAGCGTGTAATACATGGCGGACAGGGCAGTGTTGTGGGTACTGGAAGGGGATATAGCCCTGAATTATATGAAAAACGAAATTTGTATATCATGGTGTTTAGTACATGTTTTACAGTATCATATACATAGTGTTTAGTACCTGTTTTACAGTATCGTATAACACATTGTATTCTGCTGTTATATCATGTTATATATAGTGTTACATAGAGGATGTTCTTGTTGATATTACTATTTTCGTATATAGTTCTCCATTATACCGTCATGCTAAATATGTCTATGGATGTTATATCACATTCTCAGTGCCATGTCATAACAGTGCCTAGGTTATTACGTAAGCCTCCAGCCCTCGTGAATTAATACGTAAAACAATCAACGTCTTCTGCGACAAACTCGCCATCTAAACAAAATACGTTTGAAAAGGGGCTTCCGAAGAAAGATAAAAAGCACGAACATCAGTTAATACCCTTTCAATAAATCCTACACTTCAAAGAAACATTTTACGTGCGCATTTTCTAATAATATATGCATACATGACCGTCGCATACACTAGTGGGATTTCATTTCGTCATGTCCGTTTGAGTGAGATATTTGGCGATGCGTGCATTATAGTTTTTGAACGAAGGTTGTTGTAATGACATCTAACTTGTATCACTGCACTGTTCACACATTACATGACCGGGCATATTTTCATGCAATTTTCTCATTTATAATAAACTAACATTCCAAGCATATTTTCATCTTGTTATCCTACATATATTCCTCAAGAGTCTTGATTTCGAAAATAAAGACATGCTTTTAAACAACGTCCACTCTATGTCAACTCATTACAAAAATTGTACTTAATGATATTACTTTAATTCAGCAAGTGTGAACGGCATTGAAACTTGGCGACCCTTTTCTACAATGAACTATATGGGTCCCTTTGCATATTTGTGTAGTCTATAGAATAGATTATTAAGGCCGGGCCACATTGTAGCAGTGCAGTAAAGCGCTACCTTGCACAACACAGCTAAAAACAATTTTCAGACTACATTGAACCAGGCCAGCGCACAAAAGTAGATTAAATAAATGTTTTAATTATCTTTGCCGAAAAAATATATATCAGCAGTAAAGAAAGAATTTTGTATAAATAAATGTATGAACATAATGCACTCATGACAGTACATAACTTGATGGCAGTTTTTAGCGTTACAAGCTCCTGTGAAGGACCTTACATATGGAGTCCCACAAGGATCCGTACTAGGTGCTCTCCTCTTCACAATTTACACTTCCTCTCTTGGTGCTGTTGTGAGATCTTACAAGCTGGGCCTGCACTTGTATGCTGATGACACACAGGTTTACAAATGGCATTTAAACCACTGGACAAGTCATCAGTCGATCTCACATTTGAGTCAGTTCAGCAGTGCATCGGTAGCATCAAGTCATGGATGACTTCTAACTTCCTGAAACTGAATGATTAAAAAACAGAGCTTCTAGTATTTTGTTCCAAACGAAGTAAATTTTTTCTCTCCCTTCCAGAGTTCCGCATTGGTAATTGTGTGATCTATGTAAGCGAGGAAGCCCGAAATCTGTGTGATATTCCACTCGTGCCATAGGTGTCCTCCCATTACGCAGACAGCCAGTTCGCAGACACCTTAAAACAACAACATTTACGGTTCAGTGAACAGCTTATTTACTACCTGTTACCTACACATTATAATGGAATAGTCCAAATAAAAATACAGGAACAAACTAAAGCTATATTATTTATTTTGAAAGATGCACGAAAAGACAGTAATTTGAATTTTTATTGCTGCAATATAAAAACAGGTTATTTATTAACAGGTTATTATTTTCATAAACATTTCGGTTTAACCTTCTAGTCTAACGGGAGTCGGCATCATCATATTGAAAACATTAGCTTAGCTATTAGAAATTGCGACACTGTTGTATCATATAAATCAAATAAAGACAAATGTGAACCTAAATATTATTGATATGGAATAAAGAAGTTATATGTTTTGCACACAATATTAAGATATATGACGAGTGCACTTAGTTACGATTTACTTAGAATAAATATTTAAAATATGACGCAACATGTCAATGTGGATGTGAGAATGTTTTTCATTACCTCCTTGAATGTCCATTGTATACCACTCAAAGACATAAACTGTTGCAATCTTTAGAAAGTATTGTTGAAATTAGAACACCGATTGGTATCAATCGTATCTTACATGGCAATACAGGTGTCTCAATTACTCAGTTAACTTCTGGGGCGGTGGGGTAGCCTAATGGTTAAAGCGTTGGCTCGTCACGCCGAAGACCCGGATTCGAATCCCCACATGGGCACAATGTGTGAAGCCCATTTCTGGTGTCCCCCGCCGCGATGTTGCTGGAATATTGCTAAAAGCGGCGTAAAACCAAACTCAGTCAGTCAGTCAGTCAGTTAACTTCTGTTGTACATATGCTATTATTGGGAGGGGTCTTTTCTATCAATAAACACCATCAAACCTCCCAGTGACAAACCTATTTTTATATTCGAAAGTAATTGATAGTAAAATCAATTTTGAGAAAAGAAATCATTTAATCACAACAAAGTTCTATTTACCCACAATCAAACTTCTCAGTAACGAACCTGTTTCAGGCTCACCCACTAGACAGTGGACTGTTCCATTATGCCCGTAGGTGTTACCCTAATTAACCTTCTAGTTCAGTGTCTGTCAAATGGGTGTCTGTCAAATGGGAGATAACCGTGCCATAACATGGAATATCAATAGCGTCTGCAAGCGTGTGTACTTCCCTATTCACAACATGATCATCATCAGGAGGTAGCTCGATGTCAAAACCACCTCAGCTCTTATCCAAGTCTTCATCACGTCGAGACTTGATTACTGTAACTCGCTGCTGTTTGGAACATCTGAACATCTGCTTGGCTAGCTTCAACGTGTGCAGAACACTGCAGCAAGGGAGATAACCCGCCACCACATCACTCCTGTACTCCACAGTCTACACTGGTTGGCAGTCAGATACAGGATCCACTACAGAAAACTGTTGTTAGTGTTCAAGTGTGTCAATGGACATGCCCCCAGCTACCTCTCAAATCTTCTTAAAAAACACTACCCACCCAGATCCTTACGGTCTGGTTCACAGGATTTCGTGGAGGTACCATCCACACGAACAAAGACATTTGGCGAACGTTCATTCGCAAAAGCCGGTTCGTGTGTGTGTGTGTGTGTGTGTGTGTGTGTGTGTGTGTGTGTGTGTGTGTGTGTGTGTGTGTGTGTGTGTGTGTGTGTGTGTGTGTGTGTGTGTGTGTGTGTGTGTGTGTGAATTTTGTAGAGATTTTTTTTTGTAGATCAAAGTATTCATATAACCCTCTTTTGTAATTTCATGGTTGATCATAAATAAAGTGATCTTTCTGACTGAGTGATCGAGTAATATTGAGCAACCCTGAAGATATCCTGTATATGATGTGAGTGAGTGATATTGAGCAAACCTGAAGATATCATGTATATGATGTGAGTGAGCGAGTAATATTGAGCAAACCTGAAGATATCATGTATAGGATGTGAGTGAGCGAGTAATAGTGAGCAAACCTGAAGATATCATGTATATGATGTGAGTGAGCGAGTAATAGTGAGCAAACCTGAAGATATCATGTATAGGATGTGAGTGAGCGAGTAATATTCAGCAAACCTGAAGATATCATGTATATGATGTGAGTGAGCGAGTAATATTCAGCAAACCTGAAGATATCATGTATATGATGTGAGTGAGCGAGTAATAGTGAGCAAACCTGAAGATATCATGTATAGGATGTGAGGTGAGCGAGTAATAGCGAGCAAACCTGAAGATATCATGTATGGGATGGTGAGTGAGTAATATTCAGCAAACCTGAAGATATCATGTATATGATATGGTGAGCAGTAATAGTGAGCAAACCTGAAGATATCATGTATATGATGTGAGTGAGCGAGTAATATTCAGCAAACCTGAAGATATCATGTATATGATGTGAGTGAGCGAGTAATATTCAGCAAACCTGAAGATATCATGTATATGATGTGAGTGAGCGAGTAATAGTGAGCAAACCTGAAGATATCATGTATAGGATGTGAGTGAGCAGTAATAGCGAGCAAACCTGAAGATATCATGTATAGGATGTGAGTGAGCGAGTAATATTCAGCAAACCTGAAGATATCATGTATATGATATGAGTGAGCGAGTAATAGTGAGCAAACCTGAAGATATCATGTATGTGATGTGAGTGAGCGAGTTATATTGAGCAAACCTGAAGATATCATGTACATGATGTGAGTGAGCGAGTAATATTGAGCAAACCTGAAGATATCATGTATTTGATGTGAGTGAGCGAGTTATATTGAGCAAACCTGAAGATATCATGCATAGGATGTGAGTGAGCGAGTAATAGTAAGCAAACCTGAAGATATCATGTATAGGATGTGAGTGAGCGAGTAATATTGAGCAACCCTGAAGATATCATGTACATGTATGTGAGTGAGTAATATTGAGCAAACCTGAAGATATCATGTATATGATGTAAGTGAGCGAGTAATAGTGAGCAAACCTGAAGATATAATGTATATGATGTGAGTGAGCGAGTAATATTGAGCAAGCCTGAAGATATCATGTATATGATGAGAGCGAGTAATATTGAGCAAACCTGAAGATATAATGTATATGATGTGAGTGAGCGAGTAATAGTGAGCAAACCTGAAGATATCATGTATGTGATGTGAGTGAGCGAGTAATATTGAGCAAACCTGAAGATATCATGTATATGATGTGAGTGAGCGAGTAATAGCGAGCAAACCTGAAGATATCATGTATATGATGTGAGTGAGCGAGTAATATTGAGCAAACCTGAAGATATCATGTATATGATGTGAGTGAGCGAGTAATATTGAGCAAACCTGAAGATATAATGTATATGATGTGAGTGAGCGAGTAATATTGA